AAAAAAGGAGACGAACGCGAGAGAGAGAGAGAGAGAGAGAGAGAGAGAGAGAGAGAGGCACATCCCCCAGTGCTTACTCTCCCCATAATGTGTGTTGAGCCAGCAGTGGGTTTATCCTTAAGTGGCCTAAAGTTGAATGAGCAGACAGAAGACCCAGGGGGAGTGGGAAATTGCAGAGCCTTTAATTATGCACGGGGAGATTGCATGGCAGGCCTGGAACCAACAAGCTCACACAGTTTCTTTGAAGTCTCTGATTATAATTGATCTCATATCTGGAGGAGGAGGAGGAGCAGTGTGACACCATACAGCTGAAATTATTGTGCTCTTGAAAAGACAAATGACTGAACTAAGAATTTAAGCTGAACTGGTGTTTTCTATTTTCATTACATTTAAAAAATACTGTCACGTTGATGACATTTATTGTAGACCTTAGCAAAGAAGAAATGTAGCTATTCTTAAAAAATCCTTAGGCCTTATATTTCTTCTTCAAATGGATGACATTCTACTGCTTTCATCAGAATAGAACAATGCTTGTGCTATTTTGAAGTGTTGTATTTTCTAAAGAGAGAAGGAATGTGTTTGCTGTCCTATTTAATTTCATTTATCTTACATGGAGGTGTGTTTCTATTGATTTCTCCATGCTGTCATGGACTTTGCCCATGCTCACTGTTGTGTTTGTCTCTTGTAGAGTGAGATCATCAGACACTGGGGCTACCCAGCTGAAGAATTTGAAGTGGTCACTGAGGATGAGTACATCCTGAGCATTAACCGAATCCCACATGGGGTCAAAAACAAGGATGGCCAAGGTAAAGGTTTGAGCTGGTGTGCCAAAAGATTTGAATGAGCCCATTCATGCTTCTGTTTGGCTTGGGTTAGCATGAATTATTAAAGATGGGATCTTTTTGTCCTCACTAAAGTGGCCGTCTGAAAGAGGAATGTCTGTAAGATGAACTCTGAATTCTCACATTCACTGGTTCACTGTGAAGCCATTACGAAACATGCACTGTCACATGAACGCACTGGGTGAGATGTTCACATCTGAACCTTAACATCTTAACATCCCGTGGTTTTTAATAGTCACGTAGCAATTTAAAGAGGGGAGAGAAGTGGTTTTAGATGAGTCAGTCTCGAATGGAGGAGGACCTCCTGTAACACACTCGTATAACACAACCCACACAAGATGTCTTCTTAGGATTTTCTTCTCATAAATATCAAGATCTCATGACCTCTTGTGATGGTGTGAGGTTATTAGAAGATCCTGTTTCATAAATTAGTTAAGTTAGTGTTACACTCCTAAGTGTTATACTTGGGAGAGATATGATTTTAAAATAGTTAAGAATCTGATGGGATATAAATTCTAGTGTATAGAGCAGAAGTCTCAAACTGGCCTAAGTTTCATATGGCCCCACAAGTGATTTGGAGTATGTATACAGGTGCATCTCAATAAATTAGAATGTCGTGGAAAAGTTCATTTATTTCAGTAATTCAACTCAAATTGTGAAACTCGTGTATTAAATAAATTCAATGCACACAGACTGAAGTAGTTTAAGTCTTTGGTTCTTTTAATTGTGATGAATTTGGCTCACATTTAACAAAAACCCACCAATTCACTATCTCAACAAATTAGAATACTTCATAAGACCAATAAAAAAACATTTTTAGTGAATTGTTGGCCTTCTGGAAAGCATGTTCATTTACTGTACATGTACTCAATACTTGGTAGGGGCTCCTTTTGCTTTAATTACTGCCTCAATTCGGCGTGGCATGTTAACTTTTCCACGACACTCTAATTTATTGAGATGCACCTGTATACGTGTATATATTTGTGCGTGTGTGTATTCACCAAAAAATACAGAAAATAAAAAAATTATAAACATGCATACAATATATATACAGTATACACACACACACACACACACACACACACACCATATATATATATATATATATACTGTATATAACACACACACACACACACACACACACATATACATATATTATTTGTACATATATACATTTGTTTAATAATAATACAAACTCATTCAATTTTCTTCTAACAAAAACAAAATAAATTTAGCATAATCTTCATGCTGCTTTTTTCCATACAATGAATGTTTA